TTTTTTTTTTTTTTTTTTTTTTCTTCTGCCTTTAAACGCCACCCTAGTATTCAGTTCATGGCCACTTGATAGGTACGTGGAATCCATTGTGGACTGATGGCCGCCCTTTAGACCTAGCGTCGTAGGCACCAATGTCCGGCGTTGTTGTGACTCCTACCGTACGGACCTCACTGCAGAACCTCTCAGCCGAGAAGCAGTGAGCTCTGGGGATAGTCCAAAGTCATGTTTCTGAATGTGTGTCCTTTACGTGCGAGCTTTGTAAAAACCCCATCTCCTCTGGGATGCTTTACATCACCTTCTCACAAGTATTTGCTTTCTTTTAACCAAAAGCATCGTTCTTGGGTGATAATATAGTTTCGCTCTAGCTAGTGATCGTCTGGAAAACAAAGAGCCAATTCCATTTTTTTCGTTCTAAAAGTTTTAATTTATACATGTATATATTTTCAGGGAGGAGTGTCTTAAACTATAGACATGTAGCATGTTGCATGGGTAAGGCTCCCTTTTATTTTAACACGTGGTGGTCATGACGAGCCTCCTTCCACATTTTCTCCCTTCTTTCTCTCTCCTTTGTTACTTTTTCAAAGAATGGAAGTTCTTTGGTTTTATCTCGTGTTGTCTTGGGGTTTTGTTCGGAACTCCAAGGCCTACCCCCCACCCCCACCCCTTTAAGTGAAGCTCTTTTAGTAGCTAAAAGATGCACAGTCTGGTGGGAGGCAAGTCGTTTAATTGAACCCCTAGAAAGTATGTTTTCTTCTTCTCTTTTTCGGCCAACTTTTTGGTGGCATTTGTGAAAGCTGATATAAAAGGCTCTGAGACTTTATTTTCAGTTATTCTGCAGGCAGGCCTTTGTTTACAGGGCCTGTGTCTCCAGTCGGCAACTTGAGATATACCTGAGCTTCCAATTCTTGTCTCCAGCGCCTCCCAGTGCTTAGTGCACAGTACTGTATAGACTGGCCATCACCCCTCTCCTCGGAAAACGCCACTGTGCTGTTTGAGAAAAAGCAGCCTTTTAGGGCTAGAGTATTTTATATACACAGAAGAGCTAAGTTTCTGAAGACTAAGCTAGGTAGATACAGCTATGTGCAAATTGTATATTTTTATGAACTTTTGAAGCACCCACTCTTCCTTCCCTCCGCGTAGCTTTGTGGGGTTGTGGTGTCTATGCGCTGTCTGCAGGAGTCCAGAGGTTGGAGTGACCATAGGAAATGAGAACGCAAACTATGTGCAGCCTTTGAACGTGACCAGATCATTGTCTTCACTGTGACCAGTTGGAGCCCCTGGTTGTTTGTGAAGAAGGGGCTTTGTACCTCGTTGGAGATGCCACCTCAAAAGTTCACACCGTACAGGAAAAGAGTTCTCTTCTCTCCCAGCACGCACGTTAGGATGTCAGCAGCCCGCATGCCCGTGGACCACGACGGACCACGAACGGACCGCTAAAATTTGGCAGGCAGGGGCACTGTGTACAGAGTTTTCTCCGGAAGCTGACTTTGCCCCTATGGGTATCGAATGCCCCTTGAGCCTGAGGGGACACGGGTCCATGCGGATGACATGACAAAGAGTAGAATTCTGCAGAGGAGTCTGGGGAGAAGCCACGACTATGCAGGCATTTCCAGACAGGTGAGACGTTCCAGTAACTCCTGGCTGCCCCGGCATACTGGGTACATGGTTATGATGCCGGGAAACTGGTGGAAACTTGGGACTTTGGGGACAGAGGTTCCCGGGGTTCCATCTCTGCTAGTATCTCTGGGAATATTTGGGTGGAACAGGTGTGGGACGCAGAGCTACATGCTCTCTCCTGCCCATCATCCTGGCCTGCTAGATTAAGCTACGCTTTAGCCTGGTAAGGAACGTAACCCTTCTCAGATAGCGGCCATTCTGGGGGAACTGGGGAGGGCGATGGTGTGGTGAGGCTCTTGTAGATAACCACCCACCTCCCCTGGGAGAATCTTACCTTCAAACATCCACCCGGCGGTTACTCCATCTTGTAAGATGATAGTCCCGGTACTTCCTTAAGGGCAGAAGCCTCATCTTGGTAGGTTTGGGTGGTCACTTTCCTACTAAGGGGATCATGGTGAATCTCCGAGCAGATTTTTCTCTTCCTTCGGCAGAGTTGGGAGACCCCTCACTCAAGGGGTCCGGGAGATAAATCAACCGAATACCATCTCCATATTGATTTTCCGAATTGACCCTCAAACCCCGTGCAGAATCTTCACTTTGTTGAGATTGTATCTTGACATTCCTAGCATGTTATTTTTCTTAACTGGAGTGTGTGCTGCCTTTCAGGTACAATTTTTGTGTAATAAAAGCCAGTGCATTAAGTTCATATAGACTACTTTCTATGCAAGACTGAGCTATGGAATAGATCGCAAGAGGTACGCGTAGCCGGGTACATGGACAATGAGCACGTTCTCGGAATGGGAACCACCATTGAACGTGGGTTGAGGGAGGATAGGTTGTGCGTATGTTTCTGCCCACCGATTTTGAGCAACCGTGTTAGGAATTAAATCCTCAGAGCCAAGTAACCCAAGAATGGTATTTGTCTCATGTACAATAACGCAAATGGAATAAGTATGAATGCTGAGGGAACATTATTCTCAGATATTCCATGTCATTTCTCATCTAAAGACTCTTGTTACAAATTATTAGAAACTTTACGCAAAATCGAAAGCATTGGAAGCAAAATAAAGGCCTACTCTGCTCTCATTTAAAGTGAAACACCGTGTACTTGTTTCTCTCCAAGGTGACATTAGGCATTTATGATTTCGATTGCCTTGATGCGTTTCCAAATCACCAATTTATGCTGAAGATTTTACTATATTGTTGCACAGTTTTACGATAATTTTTTGTCTCAATGTCAACTTTTTTCACTGAATAAAAATTTAACTGGGTGAAGGAGACACCTATATGAGAACCCACTCTCTACGCGTGTCTTGAGTTGTTCTTTTGAGCGCAATAAAGATGGTCTGTACAGTGTCCGGATGCCCTTTTGATTTGCCTGGTTTGGAAGGATGTGTATTGGATAGACGAGAGAACACCAAGGCCTGGGATAATCTTGTTATGACCACGGTGGTCTCGCGTGGTGGATCCTTGAAGAACGCGATGCCTTAGTGTTGGCCGAGGAGCGGGGAGACGTCAAGGCAGCTGTTCTCGCAGTAAATAGAATTACTCCACAGGGGCAGTGACTTCCTTAAAGCTGTCACTACATTTGCTGAGACACCATTGGCTAAGAAGGCAGTTTTCAAGTCTTATGAGAAGAAAGCACAGCAGTGTGATGTGCTGTGTTGTCAAAGAGCACTTTGAGGAGGTTCCCGTGGGCAGTGGGGTCGTGCGAAGGATGCTGCCAGCCCCTCTGATGGGTAAATGAATGGCAGGTGGGCCCATCAGTCAGGCCTGGAGAATATGGAACGGGAGAGAAGGGGAGGCAGGTGTTTCTAACCCAACAGATCTGCTGGTTTGTCGCTTTTGTTTAAACATTGAGCCAAAAGAGAACCCCGAAGGACTGTCCTTCTGTTGTGTAG